CCGGTGGGCGCTAAGAGACCCTCCTCGGAGATGGAGGCGGCCATGGAGAACGCCAAGAGAATGAGGTAAGCTAAGGATGCTAGGTCGTACGCTAAGAGAATGCGGTACGCTAATGATGCTAGGTCGTCCAGAAGTTTTAGTTTTAGTAGAGGTTTTACGGCTCTCGAAACTGCATAAGGTCATAGGAGTCCAGAAGTATAGAACTGTGACGTCCGTTTATAATTTGTTTGCGTCGTAGAGTATAGTTTGATAATTCAAAGTGAACAACCGAGCTGAGCTGATCAAGACAACAGCCAACAGAAAGGAATGGGGTACCATGATCGTCGGTGTCTGCTTCAGACCTGACACCCGAAGAAGAAGAAGAAGGTACATGTAGTTTGATTGCAGGGAAAATTTGGAACTGAAAAGAAAAGGGGGGAAAAAAGAACCAACCCCCCCCTCCCCACTTCCAAATAAAAACAAACAACAAAAGAAAAAAAAAATAATCAGGTCACACCTACTCCTTAAAACACTATAGGTCTACGCTCTTGGTAGGTATTTTACAATGTTACTTTTGTCTCAAGTGTTGGGTTGTTATTTTGCACAAACTGTTGACGTAAGCACTTGCCCTTTTAGAATGTGGGAGCAGTTTTTTCTTATTATGTTCTAAAAATGAGAACCTCAAAACACGGAATATTAGAGTCAAAATATAAACACAATATAATAATAGTGGTAGTTTGCTTCTGACACTGATAATCACGCTTCCCAAATAATTCCAACTTGGTACATAAATTATATAAGAGTTACATGCGTCACGAATGTAACTCTTAACAACTCACTCACTCACACAAACTACCAATCCCGTTCCTCATTGGCGTGTTTTATTATAATTTTGGGGGGATTTTTTTCCCCCTGTTTATATGTATTTCTTTTTTTCCCCCTGTTTTATTTATTTCTTTTTTTAAAATCATTTTTTCCCTATCATTTATTCTTTTTTTCCCCTCTCAGGCTGGAAGGCAGGGCACACGAATACTCGTCGGCGTGGGAGCCGTACCTCGCGGCCGCGGCAGCTGCTTCCCAGCAGAGACAACAGGCGGGCCCGTCCCTACCCTGTGGCCTCGAGTCTGCCAGCATGGACAAGAGCGCCGAGTACCTGCGCAAACGCTACATGGAGTACGGCCCGCAGGCGGCCTATCTGTCGGCGCTGCCCGAGTACGCCCGGCCCATGTACCACTGCGCATGCCCGGAGCACCGGGACGAGGACATCCGCATGTGGAACGTGGAGGACGTCTGCAAGTTCCTCAACTCGCTGGACGGGTGCGGGATATACGCTGATGTGAGTATTACTTGGGTTGGGTTGGTTTGTTCGTTT